TTATATTAATTTCATAGACAAAATAAAAATTTAAATTAACAAAGAAACAAAATAATACATATGTCATATAATTAATTTTGGTTAAAATGTTTATAATTGCACACGATATTTTTTATCTCTTCATTAATTGAATAATTATTTACTTATTTAATTAACAAAATTTAACATATGTAATAAAAACGTGTTACATTTTGAAAAAACCGGTTAAAAAATAAGAGATTATAATAAGTATTAAGTAATGAATAAATTTTATGTGACAACAAGTTGCTCATTATCAATTCTAATTATTTAAGACTACCAGATTTCAAATATCTTAACATAATTATCATATGAATGAATCTTTTATCCTATGAGAAAAGAAATTAAAGAAAAAAATAATATCTGTCATTATTTTTGCACACGTGTTATTTGTGTTATTTCTTCTCAAACATTTGTTTTTCAAATGTATGCACAGTCGATTAGAGGGTACTATTAATTATGAAGTAATAAATTGTGACATGTCCTTGCCACTCACGCGTAAAATGACATTTCCAAATCGTCAGCTTTATCGATTATTTAATTCGAAGATTTCATCCTGCGTTTGTATTTCGCGTTTAATCTTGTAGAAGTGACCTTTTGCTGATTTAGCCGTGCAGAAGTATGTTGAAACGAAGAGAAAGAGAGAAGATAGTCTTCTTCATTCGGTCATGATGGTTATTTTTCGCATGCACATTGATTTTTTTCGCTGATTAAGAAGAAAATGATAATCGGAGGTCGACAGACATCTGACGGAAAGTTATCGCCACCAGAGTCAGTGTGCTTAATGATCTTTCAGTTGACAGCAGTTCCTGTTCTTAATTAGTTGAAATTGAATCTGGAGCGAATTTCCGAATGTTGACTCAAGATTTGAGCCAAACTCAAGATAAGAAAGATGGGAAGGTGGAAAAGACAGTTGAGTCTAGATATTTCAACGATGGAAGCGTCTCAGCGTCGTCGAGAGTCCGATTCTCCTGCGATCGGTTTTGTCTGGCAGGTAAGACGAGAAAATCGAGAAAAAAAAATTGAAATCGGTATATCTCACGAGGCGAATTCAGTGTCCGATAATACAGAAAATTGGAATCCCAAGACACATTCTACTTTCTAATCCGCTAGAATAGATCTAATTAGAATTATAATACAACGAATATATTGAATATATTAAACGAGGTAATTGATTTCGCAAGAAAATGAAAGTGATATCAGAGATGTGAAAAAAACTGAGATAAAATCAATATCTCGTGGAAAATTCACCTCGAGAACTCGATTATACCGATTTCCCTTTCGGCAACAAAAAGTATTTGTCTTTCAAGTGTCGTACATGTACAATTTTTATGCTTACGAAATAGAGAATAGAATCTCAAGGTATTATCGTAAAGCGAGGCCTCCTTTTGAACTACTGTATAGCTCGAACGCCGAGACTTTGGCTCATATCATGTGCGTGTTATCTTGCGCGGTTGTATTCAGCTGATAAGACGAACGTTTTACTCGTTGGTGTTTCTGGTATGTTATTGGTCATTGTCACATTCTCGTTATGGCTTTTATAGACGTATATAGAAAAAAAATATATATATATAAATGAATATCTATTAAATTTTTTGTTTACGTTTGCGTAGAGCTAAAATAAAAGCAGCTAAGATAAAATACTAAGCAACCATTATAAATTTCAAGAAAACATTTCCAATAATATACTTTAATTAACCGTTCAAGTGACAAAAAGCAACGTAGCGTTTCTTCAAAGTTTCTTCGACGTAAAAATACACTCACCTGTCAGAGTATTGATTGCGTAAGTAAGAGAGATTATTTTTCACAATTATAAAAAAATTAGAAAGCAATGCGGCATTCAAAGAATTAATTAAAATTATATTTAAATTAATTAGTATTCACTTTGCTTCGTGCATATTTATTGTCTTCTTTTATTTTCTGCGGCTATCTCTCTAATGAATCTCTCTCTATAAACTCGTCATTATTATTAAATTAATTAATAAAAAAAAATGTTTCAACATAGTTTCCTGAGAATATTCAATATTCAATCGTGATTTTAAAACATTTGCAATACATATATCCTTGTAGGAAAGGGTAATACATGTACTTTGTATATATATTGGAAAGAAATCGAATCATAGAAGAAGATAGAACGGCGAGAGATTGGAAATTTATACTGACGTCTCTTTGAACGTTATTTCCACAATAAGTTATCGCTCGACCGCATATATAATATTTAATATCAAGTGGAGTTTTGCTAATTACGATAGCTAGATTTCTTGTTATCTTTTTTTATAGAAAATTCTGCAACGGAAATGTTTATATTCCAAGTCCGTTCATTGATTCATTAATCCTTGGAGATGACATTACGATGTGGATTATGCAAATGTCACTGATGCATGCGTCGCGCAAGAGAGTCATCATCTCGCGATGATTAAAAAAGTATTATCTTCCAAGTTGAATTTCTTTAAGCCTCAGCTTTTAATCAATGAAAAAAATAAACGCATTTACAATTGAATCATTTTCATAAATATTAATCTCGAATATTAAATCTTTGTCGGAATTTGGCGTTCCGTTCGAAACAAAACGGAGACTGCTTGGATTTTAATTTCTAGCTAGATCAGAGATGGCCAACTTTTCATCTGGTGTGTCATCATAGATGTTCAAAATCTTTAGTGCGCCACTGTGTTACGGAATTGGGCAAAAAAAGAAAACCTTTAATTTTTTTCTCTCTCGTTTAACAAAGTTTATCATCATTTTCAGTTTTTCAAATTTTCAAATTTTTCTTCGACAGCGCATACTTCTTTAGGAATGTTACTAAGAATGCCCTGCGTATGCTGCGAATTGGCCATCTCTGAACTAGACTGACAACTAAATAAAGCGTCAGTTCGCAGCGCAAAATCGCATTGCCAGAAAACCGGCATCGGATTGCGAAATCCCTGGCTGAACGCCACACTTGGCGCGGCCTCGCGCGGCGTCGAATCTCGGCCGTCGGAGGAGAGTCCGCCACCGACGGCGACGTGACATTGGCGGGACGGCCGTCCGTCGACGATGCCGTCGGGCACTGGTGAACGATTGGCATTGCGACGGCGCATTCGTCAACCGATACCGTCATTGATAGGCGCGCGCGTAACGTCCGCGTGTGCGGACGGCGTGTGCGCCTCGGCTGTGTGTGAAAATATTTTCACGTGCGTGAGTGAGTACGCGGGGGCCGGCGGGGGGAAACGGCGGACACGAGAAAGGGACGTTTGGCGAACGGTGGAAGGCTGGACGGTCCCGCGATACGCGCTTAGTCCACGTCCGGCGCATCGCGGCAACGTGAGCCGCCGCTTCGCGCTTCCACCATCCGCGCCTGTCGTTATCGAGATGCCGGCGACGAGGCGTGACGGGCCGATGTAATCTGCCACTCTCTTGCCGCCTTTACGGGAAAATTCATTCGTGAGATTGCACGCGCCGCGGAAGATCCGCGATGTGCGACGCGACGAGGGAGCGACCGTGAATCCGCGGGACCATTTTATTCATCCCGGTAAGATAATCGGGGAGTAACCTGATTTCCGTAAATTTTCATTAATAACGCATTTGCGCGCGAGACGGATGAACATTTCGTATTTTTAAACCGGACTATTGTAAACGCGACTATTTTAATTAAATATTGCACGGAGGTTTGTGTATTTGTTTATTACAGCGGAATTCGTACATGCTCGTGCAACTACCGTTTCGAGAATTTATTAATAATTGCGTTGCAGAGGAGCTCTATTTTAATATTTATTAATAAATTCCATCCTTTCTTTTTTCCTGGATATTGTACATATAATCAATTTAATTTTTTCATTCGCTCATATTGACTTACATCATCTTCTTTTTTATAATTTTTTTTTTATTACATAAATCTTTTAACATTATTTAATTATTATTAATAGTATTTAATATTTAATATATATTAACAAAAATATAAAGAAATATTTTAATATTCAATGCATAAATTAAATTATATTGCTGTGTATCTAAATATGTATAGAAATATTTTGTGTAAAAATTTTATTATTTAAATAACTTTCTGATGAATATTATAACGTGATTGAAAAGAAGATTTACACTTTAATAAGATAAAATTTATTTTCTAATCATCACCTTGTGATTATCACCTTCGAAAAATTTCGAAATTAATTGCTCGCAATTTCTCTATGTTAAATCAATATCTCAGGTTACTTATTATGATAATCTTCGAGTATTATTTGAGATTGATAAACACGTAATTGTTAATCTTATCATACTTCTGAATGATATCAATGTAATATAATTGCGATTTTCAACAAAATATTAATCTAATCCAAAAAGACGAGTAACGAAATTTTAATTCAATTTCGAATTTATATTTTGTAATATACCTAATTAATATTGTCTCGACTGCTCTCGAATCCGACGTCATGACGTCATTAAATGCGTATTTAATTAGCATACAAAGCAATTGCATTCTCGCGGTCTGATGATCGAAGCTTATTTCGGATTATTAAGTTTTAATTAATGCTGCTCTATATGACAATTTTCCTCGTAATTTTCCGCGGATAAAATTGCAGATTGACACCCGATGTAATTTCGCAATGACATCTCCATGCAACGCAATTAATGCAAAAAGTATGTTTTCCAAGAATAGAAATGTTTACACGGAAAGAACGGTTTTGCTGAAACACTAAAAAATTTCGTCAGATATTGATCTGAAACTATGTTTGTCCATCAAAATTATTATGTAGGACACTTAAATATGGTAATAATACTGCAAAAATTTTTAAAAATTTTAACAATCAATTTGAACGTCCTACATAATTATTTTAATGGCTTGAAAATTATTTTCAGATTTATATTTGATCAAATTTCGTGTTCTTTCTGTGTGCAAAATTTTGATAGCATCCTAATACAGCATCATTTCGCGCTTGATACTTTAAGTACTTCTAATACTGATACTCAATTTTGCTTTTATCGAAGGTCTGAGAGATACTCTCGAAAGAGAGAGAGAAAGAGAAGATAGAAGAAGTGAGATCGACATTTGTTTGGATTTTAGGAAATAAAGCGATAGATGCGACAATAGATGAGAAAGAACCGATTCGCCTCTCGACGATACTCCTGCTCGATTTAATCAATCTCGTTAATATTGCTCGTTATTAATATAGGAAACGGATCCGGAACAGGAAATATCTGAAATGGAAAAAATCATCAGCGCTTGCGTCGAAGACGGCGTGCAACAGCAGGTAAGTAATATCTTATATGTTGCTTAAATAAAAATCAAAAGTGACAGAGAAAAATCGAAAATCAACGAAACAGTCTTCGCTTTGCGCCGAAACGATATTTTTAGCAGCCTTAGCATTTATATCCTAGATTATTAAAATAACACGACGGTCATATATCAAGTTTATCCTTTATCTTCAGGATCTATATTTTTTAAAAAATTAATGGTCCTTTGTCTCAAAAAAGAGACAACGTCACCGAGAGTCGGTGGCGAATTAAAATCAATATAATCCTACTTCTACGTGAAACTGCATTGAAAGCACTTTGATGTCACTTTTACCGCTAATAGCGTATAATAAATTCAATATGCACGTTAATTCCGCATCACTTTTAGCCGATATATGTAGAATTAGTCTTTTGCGTAGTCCTCTCGTTCTTTGAATAGATAAAAAATAGTGTGCGGGAGGCTAAAATTGACGCTTAAAATTGCGCGACGCTTAATGAGCGAGAAATTGAAAGATCACGAACCCGGATGCCCGGTGGTTGCAGAAACCGCAGACGAAAATCTATAAGAGGCGATGGCTGATCCTCATCCTCTTCGTGCTGTACAGCGCCAGCAACTCGATGCAATGGATACAATATAGCATTATTTCAAGCATCGTAACGACGTATTACAACGTTTCGGACTACGCGGTGGACATGACGAGCATGATATACATGATAACGTACATACCACTTATACTCCCCGCCAGCTACCTGCTCGACAAGTTCGTAAGTAACGGCCGCATTAACGACGGAAGTAGGGTAGAACAATGAAAATTCGTGGGCGAATCTCGGAGAACTATCGTGCATTCTTTTAGATACAAACTCCTCTCATACACACACACACACACACACACACACACACACACACACACACACACACAATCTTCGAGGTTCAATTTTATTAGAAAGCAACGGTCATATCTGAATAATCAAATCTCGATTATATTGTAAGTTTTAGTGGCAAATTGCAACAACGAAAAGATCGATAAAGATCGCGTGATTTATTATTAATTAAAAGTATTACAAACGAGGCTAGATAAAAAAATGGTCTGACAACAGAGCGAGATAACCACAGATCTCTCGTAAACAGTTATCAGTGAAACGCGGCTGAAAGTATCGAGAGATATCTCTCTCCCTTGAAACTCATTTTCTTTAAAGTGATTGTTAACGTCTGAACAAATAATATTTCATTACGCGCGATCGCTGATATATTCCCATTTATTAATATCTATGTAAACAGAGTGTACGGGAGGATGGGTGGAATTTTAGGGTCTCAGGTGTACAGTGATCTGCGGGGCGCTTGGGACTTGTCTCGGTTCCTGGGTGAAGGTGCTCAGCATAGCCAGCGATCGCTTCTGGGTCACGTTTATCGGTCAAACTATGGTGGCTATCAGCCAGATCTGCATTTTGTCCATTCCAGCTCGGCTGGCCGCGGTATGGTTCGGGGACAATGAAGTCAGTAGAGCCTGCGGCATCGGTGTCTTCGGCAACCAGGTAAGTGAACGTCTTCGTAATCCTAAGTGCGATGCATCTGGAATTTGAATTTTGATGGAATTATTATGAAGAATTATTATGTAGGATGTTTAAACACGATGATATTAATGTTGCAAAAATTTTTAATATTTTAGCAACTAATTTGAATGTCCTGTATAATTATTTTGATGATCCAATAAATTTATTTTCAAATTTATACTTGGCCAAATTTTTAGATATTTTAGTAAAATTCTGTTTTTTCCATGTTGCGAGAGAAGCTTGAGAATTTGAATCTAAAATGTTCTTTCTCTTAACTTGATTTCTCTTATTATTGGACGCTTGCATTGTCCTCGAATCGTATTAAAAGTTTACACGAGCAATTTCTTCTTTAATTTCTCTTAGAATTAAAAAATTTTTTTCAAAAGAAAGTTAAATTAAAAAAGAAATATAAATAATGAGAAATAAAAGCGATTGTTATTTATTTTTTTATACTGATTCTATTATGCATTACTATTGATTTTGAATCTACCATGCGTTATCTTCGCGTAAATATCTCCATGAAGATAAATGAGAGAGTTGTGCAGGAACAACGCATCATCTGTCTGCAACTGTCTGTGTGAAATACAAAGACTTGAATTGTTAACTCACGCAATAAAATCATTCTAATTACCCGGATTAAAGCGCGTGACAATGTAATCGTAGCATCATAATTCGATAATAAGTCAAATAAATTCGCTTTCGACGCTCGTGATATTAATTAAATATCTTTTTCCTTATTTTCACGCGAATACAGATTACTAATAAAAAATTCATTATTATATGAAATAAAATTATCTTGATAATTCCACTTCTCATTATAAATCAACAATTTTCGAATACGTACATCTACACGTAATTTCCATTTAAGCAACTGTGTGATCGAAATTTACTCTCACACAATTCCAACAAAAAATCATGACGTTAAAAACTTCTAAGATTTATTTAGAAAAAAAAAATTGTCGATTTTTCTATCAAGTTCTTACTTAGCTGAACTTACAATTTCAGTAAATTTGACGTTATATATAATGTCAATCACAAGCGCGATTCTTTGACTCGTAGAGATTTTCATGTAAGCCCTTATTAAGGGCTATTAGAGGGGCTCACTCTTCAGCGGCCCTTCTCTCGAAGAGAGAATACCCTCTATTACGTGTAAAAGGGTCAATTTTCCGTGATGTCAAACGTCAATGTATGTACCACTTATTATTTGAAAAATATACAAGGAGGCACTCGACACCCGCGGTGTCATCACCGACACGTGTCACCGTGCGTGCGGACAATGAGAATGGGCCCCGCGAGCGCGGGAAACAACGGAAGTGACAGTCTGGAGTGCGCAGCTGATTGACGATGAGGAGGAGGGTGCATCGAGAGATTTAAATTGCGACGTGATTAGGTGGGAAACCGAGTCGAAGTGGGCACCCACGATTAATTTCGCTACCTCGACAGACGTACGCGGCCGTGCGGTCTGCGGACCGCGAGGGTGGAAGAAAGGGGGCCAGGACGAGGGGGGAGGGGGCATCCTATGTCGCGAGGGATTCAATTGATCCAAGGTGCCGCAGACTGCGCCTCCGCTATCATTTTATCAGCCGTCGCGGTCGCGCTTTATCGGCGAATTCGCCGCGCCTTAATTGCATTGCGATTTCGCAATACGATAAAACGGAAGCACTCGATGCATTTTACGCGGCACTTCGCGACCGCGAGTTACAATTACGGGCCTACAAATTGGGAATCCTCTTGTGCTCCTCTTGTCGCGCGTTTCAAAATCGCGATTCGAATTTTCGGAAAATAAGAAAACCGGCTCTTCTTGCCCTTTTCGCTGTTAATCTTTGATATAAAAAATATATATATATATATATAT